GCACATCTCATACACTGAGCGTATATAAAGGGCTTTAAACAGACATAATAATCAACTATGACTGCATACTGCGCAGTAAACACTGCACACTGGATGCTATTTTAAAAATGTGCAACATGCAAGAGCAAGTTCAATTAAATACCACATTTCACACACAATAGGTATTTCATGGACTTTAAAATAGTAAAATAGTAAGACAAGTAAAATAATTAAAGAACATTAATAAATAAGGGAATGAATGAATGAATAGTTTGATTTAATGGAGTGAAGAAAATATGAAATTGATTATTTAATGTTTAAACAGGATAACAATAAATAGGAAAAATAAGAAAAAAGTCTTAAAGTAAAATATTTAAATAATAAGCAAACAAACAAACAAATAGAGTCTGATTTTAAAATGGAGTGAAACTACCATGAAATACCATGATTATTTAATGCTTTAAACAGGCATAATAATGAATAGGAGAAATAAAGACAAAAGTCTTATAGTAAAATAAAGAACATGAATGAATGAATAAATAAAAGTTTGATAATTAATAATAATTAAATAATATAAAATAGTTTAAATGAGAAATAAAGATAGAGGTCTTAAAGCAAATTAATTTAAGAACATAAAATGAATGAATGAATGAATAAATAAATAAATAAAAGATTGATAAATTAATAATATAAAATAGTTTAAATGAGAAATAAAGATGGAGGTATTAAAGCAATTAAAAAAAAGTAAAATAATTTAAGAACATAAAATGAATGAATGAATGAATAAATAAATAAATAAATAAATAAATACAATTATAATTTGTTTAATGTATTGAAACAAATGAAAAAGATATATTATGTATATAAATGAAAGGACAGACGAAAGTAAAACAACAGTGCGATCATCAGCAACAGTACTGTCACATGACCTCACTGCACTGCATATTTCATTCAAGGATATTGGTTGATATTACTTCCGGGTGACTCATCACACTGTAAATAGAAGGTCAAGTGCACTGCATTGCATTATGGGACGCAGTGTTCTGTGCAGTGTGCTCTGCTTGCATACTGCACATGCATCAAGTCACTGGAGTATTCCATGCATCATTTATGGTATGAAAATATGGTAATATGTATGTAATTTATGCCGTATGGTAGAATATGGCAGTGTGTGATGAATGGCATTGAGGCAGTGGTGTGATGTGCGTTCACTGACTGTCAGGCAGCTCCCAGAGTCTCGGGGGCAGATGGCTGAAGTACTCGTGATGAAGCGCCGCCTGGGCCGAGAGACGGTTCTTTGGGAAGCACTGGAGAAATCTGGAAGCCAGTTCTTCAGCATGATCTACATAACCCAGCCTGCCAACACACACAGATATAAACACACATGAGTACAGTGCCAAGAGCATCACACACACACACACAGCTCAGGCTCTCTGTCAGCTTCACTCCCGCTGACGTGCGGCTGGAAAAATGTTTGTTGACTTTTTTGGAGTGGAAAATGCAAAGCGAGTTTTCACCCACAAATGTCCTCTAAACCGCAAAGACAAAGTCTGACACAAACACACTCACAGAAGCTCACATGAACACACACACACACACACAGTGTATATATATATATATATACACTGCCATTCAAAAGTTTGGGATCAGTAAGAATTTTCATGTTTTTTTTAAAGAAGTCTCTTCTGCTCATCAAGGCTGCATTTATTTGATCAAAAACACAGAAAAAAAACCCCAGTAAAATTGTGAAATATTATTGCAATTTAAAATAAATGTTTTCTGTTTTAATATACTTTAAAATATAATTTATTTCTGTCATGCAAAGCTGAATTTTAATCAGCCACTACTCCTGTCAGAGTCACATGATCCTTCAGAAATCATTCTAATATGCTGATTTATTATCGATGTTAGAAACATAGTTTTTGCTGCTTCATATTTTTTTTTTGGAACCTTTGATGAATAAAAAGTTAAAAAAGAACAGCATTTACTAAAAATAGGAATCAGTTGTAACAATATACACTACCGTTCAAAAGTTTGGGGTCAGCAGATTATTTTTCTTTCTATTTCTGAAAGAAATTAATACTTTTATTCAGCAAAGATGTATTAAATTGATACAAAGTAACAGTAAAGACTTATATTGTTAAAAAATATTTCTATTTTGAATAAATGTTGTTCTTTTTAACTTTTTATTCATCAAAGAATCCCGAAAAAAGTATCACAGCTTCCAAAACAATATTAAGCAGCAAAAACTGTTTCCAGCACTGATAATAAATCAGCATATTAGAATGATTTCTGAAGATCATGTGACATTGAAGACTGGAGTAATGATGCTGAAAATACAGCTTTGATCACAGAAATAAATTACATTTGAACAGGCATTCACACAGAAAACAGTTATTTTAAATTATAATAATATTATACAATTTTTACTGTATTTTTTAATCAAATAAATACCTTAATGAGCAGAAGAGACTTCTTTCAAAAACTCTTGCTGACCACCACCTTTTTAACAGTAGAGTATAATCAGAATTTCTTCATAATTTGGAACATACTGTATAGTTCCATTCATGGATATCTAGTTATATCTAGTGCTAATAAGGGACTGAAATAAAACTGCATGAGATTAACTTTTAGCTCAACTACTGTCTTGACGTAGCAACTGTCTGAAGAGCAAGTTAGTTAAACTATTAACATGCTTATATCTAAAGATCTTAATATTAACACGTGTCTGATGACACACATCTGAAGGAAGCTCTATGACGGAGTCTGCTGAGGTTTGATACCGTCAGGGTAATGCTAAAGATGCAAGATTGATTGCTCACTCGCACAAATTCTCATCTTGTGTAGTGTGTTTTGGTGTCTAAGGCTGAATGTATGTGAGGACTGAACTCCTGAATGATCACACACTCGTGCCGGTAAGAAAACTCATGTAAAAGACTCCAAATGCATGTGGATAATTAGGCCTCTGCAGCATTAACACATTAAAGAAAAATGACGTTTCTGTCCACCAGCGGCGCTTTCAGCATTTTAACATAATGTGTGTGTGAAACGAGCCTGAAGACGAGTGTCTGTGTGATTAGACACTCAAATCTACAGGCTTCGGTTTGCATCTGAGCGAAGCTGAAGTTTGTGAAGCTGCTGGTGTTTCTTCAGTTCAGATGAGGGTTAATCGAATTAGATCTGAGGCTGCAGAAACTTCACTAAACCTCAGCTGATAATAAGACCAAGGTAATTTTAGTTTAACATTTTTTACTTCATTATATTTTTAAACATCTTTTTGATAATTGATAACAATCAAAAATGTTTCTTGAGCAGCAAATCAGCATATTATTATGATTTCTGAAGATCATGTGACACTGAAGACTGGAGTAATGATGCTGAAAATTCAGCTTTGATCACAGAAATAAATTACAGTTTAACAGATATTTACATAGTAAACAGCTGTTTTAAATTATAATAATATTTCACAATTTTTACTGTATTTTTGATCAAATAAATGCAGCCTTGGTGAGCAGAAGAGACTAATTTGAAGTCTGAACTTTTGACAGGTAGAGAGTCTAGAGGAGGGTCATTTCAGATTATTTCAGTCATTCTTTCAAGGGAAACAACGTAGACGTAGGTGATTTGAGCATTAGTACTACATTTAATCTCAATGCTCTCAAGGAAAAAACTCACATATTAATAAGTTGACTTTTGATTCCTATGAAAAACCTACAAGAAACAGACTTTTTTTCAGAGATCATTTCTAATAATAATGGCAACAGTGATTCATCAAACAATGATGAACTGATGAACAGCTGTGCTGATCAGTGTTAGTGTGTGTGTGTGTGTGTACACATCTGCTGGTGTGAGGTTACGCTTTAAAGTCGCTGTGTGAGAGACGAGAGCGAGAGAAACACAAAGTTGTGCTCTTCCCTCGTCTCTTCTCTTGGGACTGGGAATGTTCAGCATTATTACGTAGCATCTATGATGTGCCGATGCGATAGACGAGTGTGACGATCCTTTTAAGGCAGGTGCAGCACTGTGCCAAACATACACACACGTAAACACACACCTGCACAAACACACAATCAGACAACCTAAAAATACAGACAGAAACTTCAACAATTTTTGTGTGTAATATTATGAATATATGTACTTTTAAATTTCATTTGTCACACATAAGGACTATTTAAGTGAACTGCAAACCTGCAAAACCTGCAATTGAGTCAATAATATTACAGTGAAAGTATTACGCTGTAGCAATTAATGCGATGAGAATCGAATTTGATGAGAAAAGTTCATATGGAGATCTCAGAATTTTGATTATATTGCATTGATTCTGAGCACAGACACATGTGAGATTACTGGGGTCTTTTCTGGAGAAACATCTGAGAAGGAACATCTGATTAAAGCAAAAGTTTCCATTTAACATCATTGCTGTCTAGGAGAAACAACGGAGATATTAAGATCATCTCAGTCGATTTTTGATAACAAATGGTGAAAAACCTACAATAAATAGTGACATTACAGCATCTAAAACACGTTTCCATTTATACATAACAAAAATCTGTCATTAAAAAAATATACAAAATAAAAATGTTGAGGTCACTTACTTATTCCAGGCTTGTCTGAGTTTCTTGGGACTGTAGACAGTGAATCGATCTGCAGGTGAAACACAGACGACAGATGAAGAACTCAAACTCATGATGCTGCAGTGAGATGATTCATAATCAAGACTGACATCCCAAACAGTGGAAAACACACCTAACATACACTACATACTGAATATTACTGAGCTGCATCAGTGCATCACTGTACAGCACCATTCAAACGTTTGGGGTCGGCAAGATTTTTTAGTGTTTCTGAAAGAAGTCTCTCTTCTGCTCATCAAGGCTGCATTTATGTGATCAGAAATACAGTAAAAATGGTGAAATATTATTATAATTTAAAATAGCAGTTTTCTATGTGAATATCTGTTAAACTGTAATTTATTTCTGTGATCAAAGCTGTATTTTCAGCATCATTACTCCAGTCTTCAGTGTCACATGATCTTCAGAAATCATGAAATCAAAAGCACAATGAAACAGCTTTTTTACCAGGCAAAAAACACTCTGATCTGCTCTCATACAGCATTATATGATATCTCAGCTGCTCATAGTGCAACAGTCCAGTAAACGCTGCCCTCTGCTGCTACAGAACTGAACTACACTACTGCAATTATTAACAGATACTCCTTCATTAAAGGCTGCGAGTTTCTTTTTTCCACTTCAGCAGCACTTTCACAAAAATTTAAAATTATTCCCATCTATATTCAGAAGGCTTTTACTGAGGGGTTTGTTCATACATCATTCACACTGATTTACATAACGCTCTACATCATAAAAATAACCTCTTTTCTCTTTACTGATTAAATGTAATGGGGATCCTACAGACTAACAGAGCAGAGATTGTGTTTAATGGAGATTCGCTGTCTGAAGGGTTCACCGGGACGCTCACGGCTGCAGTAATGCGCTTTTATTTAAGGTCACCGCATCTCATCGGCCCTCTGTCTCTGTGCTCTGATCTCACACCTGAGACCATTAGACCTTCATTAGCGCAACGGTTTATTCCAGAACACAGGCTCGTTAGGCATCTGTCTCTCTCTGATGATGTCTTCGGCGCTCAGCAGAGGGCAGTGTGTCTTCACCGGATACGTTCAGACTGCAACACTAGTTCCCTAACAAAAGCTACTCTCGATGCTGCGTATCAAATGCTAATGAGAACATTCTTTGTTCGACCGGTTGCGAAGCACGTGTGTCAAACATGCCAAGAATTGGCTTAAATGGTGTTACATAATTGATTACGTGCACCTGCAGGTTATAAATAGACATGAAACGGACATACCTTCAGGTTTCTTTGTCTTCGAGACCGCTTTGTGTGTATGTGTTGTCTCCTCTGTGTTGTTGAGAAAAAAAGAAAAACAAAAAAAAAGGAAATTAGATCATGTCTAGTGCATCGGTTAGGAGATGCTTGCCACCGTGTGCACAAGTTATCCTTGACGATGATCCACATGATTATTGTTTGGAGTGCCTCGGGGAAGAGCATGCTATTGCTGCTCTTGAGGACGCTGAGTGTGAGCACTGTGAGTCATTTCCTATCGGAGTGCTCCGCTCGAGGCTTGCTATCTTTCGAGAGGGGTGAGCCTCGGCGTCCTCATTAAGATCGTGGGGCTCGCGCGTCGAGCTGGCTGAGAGACGAGGAGTGCGTGAGCCTCCTCTCTCTCTCGCGCTCTCCCCAGATCGCGAAGTCCCTGCCCCCGCTGCTGAGGCGTGCCCCGGCGCTTCTTCAGAGTGAGACGAGGACGCGGGTTCTCTTGCCTCCGGCGATATGGAGACCGAGAGCGCCGCCTCTGAGCGCTCCTCGCGCGACGACAAAGCATTTGGGGAGTTACTCGAGGTGGTGACTAACGCAGTGGGCCAGGCTTAAGTTAGACTGGCCACAGAAGCAAGAGAACCCCAGGCACTCCAAATTAGATGACAGATTTTTGTCGGGTGCCAGGGGGAGAGATCCTAACATCGATCTCTCCCCTTTTTCCCAGACCTCCATGAGGATTTGCCTCGTTCATGGAGTAAAGTCTTACTCCTCGCGTATCTTTGTACCCACGACGTCGATTTATTCAACTATCGTGGGTGCTAAGGCGCAGGGGTATGTGACGATGCCTCAGGTGGAGGAGACGCTCGCGGGCTATCTCTCCCCTGGGAGTTCGTCATCACTTAAGAAGCCAAACCTCCCCACCAAGCCTTGCAGAGTAACATCGTCGCTGGTGGGGAAGGCGTTTCAAGCAGCGGGTCAGGCTGGTGCTGCCCTGCACACCATGGCGGTTCTGCAGGCGTACCAGGTTGACCTGCTGAAAGACCTGTGCACGGGCGGGAGTATTAGTGAGGAGGCGTTTTCAGAGCTGCGCCGAGCCACGGATCTGTCTCTTCGTGCGACCAAGCAGACAGCCCGTGCCATTGGCCGTTCTATGACTGCGTTGGTTGCCACGGAGAGACACCTGTGGCTCAACCTCACGGGCATCAAGGATAGGGACAAAGTGTTCCTCCTTGATGCCCCCGTGTCACCTTCTGGCCTATTTGGCAACTCCATGAATACGGTCGTCACTAGGCTCAGGGAGGCCAAGAGACACGCAGAAGCTTTTGATAAGTTTCTTCCCCGCCGTGCTCAGGCGTCAGGGCTGTCGGCCACCCAGCCCCGACCCAATCCGGCCAAGAAAATCGTTCTCTCTCCTGCTCAGAGGACTACATATTTGGGGGTTGTATGGGATTCGATCACGATGCAGGCACAGCTGTCTCCTGCACGCGTCGAATCCATTCAAAACGCCCTAAAGAACATCAAGCTAGGCCAGAGAATTACTGTTCATTACTTTCAGAGGGTTCTAGGTCTCATGGCAGCTGCATCCACGGTGATACCCTTGGGCCTCCTGCACATGAGATTGTTTCAGTTGTGGCTCAGAGCCAGGGGATTTCATCCAAGGGCCAATCCCCAGAGGCAAATAAGGGTTACGCGCCAGGGGCTTCATACCCTTTCTATGTGGTTCAGACCCCGGTTTCTGACTTTGGGTCCCACTCTAGGTTCGTGTTGTCGTCGCAAGATGCTAACGACAGACGCATCCCTCACGGGTTGGGGTACGGTCTTGGATGGCCGTCCAGCCCAAGGGATCTGGAGAGGTCATCTTCTTGGCTGGCACATCAATTGCCTCGAAATGATGGCTCTATTTAGAGCCCTGAAATACTTCCTCCAGCAGTTAAGAGGCTACCATGTCCTAGTGCGGGTGGACAACACGGCGGTAGTCTCTTACATAAATCACCAGGGCGGACTGCGTTCGCGCCGCCTGAACAGGCTAGCGCAGCAGGCTCTGCTTTGGGCACAGGACAAGTTCCTGTCCCTCAGGGCGATTTACATCTCCGGGCATATGAATGTGGGAGCAGACTTGCTGTCCAGACAAGCTGTGACACACGGGGAATGGAAACTCCACCCCGAAGTAGTCGGTCAAATCTGGGAAAGATTTTACGAAGCAAAGGTGGACCTCTTCGCTTCACAGGAGACGGCACAATGTCCCCTCTACTTCTCACTGACTCCTCCAGCTCCCCTGGGTCTGGACGCCATGGCCCATACGTGGCCCAGACAGGGTCTTTACGCGTTTCCCCCGATCGCTCTGCTCCCGGGAGTCCTGGCCAAGGTCCGTCAACAGGGGTCTCGCCTCTTACTGATAGCGCCCCGTTGGCCGACCAGAGTATGGTTCTCAGATCTAATATCCCTCCTCGATGGCTCGCCATGGGCGATTCCGGTCAGGAGAGATCTCCTATCTCAGGCACAGGGGACGGTATTTCATCCCCGGCCCGAGCTCTGGAACCTTCATGTCTGGCCATGTCCTGGTACTCTCAGAGTCTATGTGGCCGCCATCTTGCCATGTTCTGATTGATGGGGTTTCTGTGGGAAGGCACCCTCTAGTTGCCCGCTTCATTCGGGGAGCTAAGCGGTTAAGGCCGCCCACGAGAGCAACAGTCCCTTCATGGGACTTAGCTATTGTGCTCGAGGGTCTGGTCGGGACCCCTTTCGAACCACTAGAGTCAGCACCTGTCAGGTTTCTGACCCTAAAGATGGTTTTTCTAATGGCTATTACTTCTCTGAAGAGAATTGGGGATTTGCAGGCTCTGTCAGTCTTGCCATCCTGCCTAGACTTTGCCCCTGGGCTGGTCAAAGCTATTTTGCATCCTCACCCTAATTATCTTCCGAAAGTTCCATTCTTGACCATACATCCGGTCGTTCTTGAAGCCTTCTGCCCTCCGCCGTTCACGACAACGGAGCAGGAAAGACTTTACTTACTGTGTCCAGTACGTGCTCTTCAGATTTACGTCCACCGCACCAGCCAGTGGCGTAAGTCGGAGCAGCTTTTCATATGCTATGGGGGCCGCAACTGGGCGGCAGCTGCCACGAAGCAAACTATGTCACATTGGGTGAGGGATGCAATTGCCCTAGCCTATGAGGTGCATGGTCAAGCTTTGCCTCTAGGAGTTAGGGCCCATTCGACCAGGGGGGTTGCATCTTCTACGGCTTTGGCAAGTGTTCCCTTGCAGCAAGTGTGTGATGCGGCAGGTTGGTCCTCTCCGCACACATTTGTCAGATTCTATAGTTTGGACGTCCATGCTACTCCGGGCTCGCATGTCCTTGAGTCAACATCCCATAGGCATGTCTGAGACCTTTTTCAATGTTTGTGCGCACACACTACACAACCTTGGGGGGTCCAGGCACTTCCGGTGCGGCGGCGTTGGTATTCTCGTTCCCATTAGCGTTTGATACGCAGCATCAAGAGTAGCTTCTGTTAGAGAACATCTCGGGTTACTTGACTGAAACCCTGTTCCCTGAAAAAGCGGGAACGAGATGCTGCGCCTCAATGCCGCACTGTAGACGTGCCTGGGCGTCTCTTCAGACAAAGCGTAACCTGAAGGTATGTCCGTTTCACGTCTATTTATAACCTGCAGATGCACGTAATCAATTACGTAACTCACCAAGGTTATTTAAGCCAATTCTTGGCGTGTTTGACACACGTGCTTCGCAACCGGTCGAACAAAAAATTTTCTCATTAGCGTTTAATACGCAGCATCTCGTTCCCGCTTTTTCAGGGAACAGGGTTACAGTCAAGTAACCCGAGACGTACACTGTAAAGTACATACACTGCATCAGGATGCATGAAGCTGCTGTCATGTGACCTCATCATTGATGCATGTTTAATTTAGCAAAAAAATATAATTTCTATAATATATATTTGCATATGACATACTGCAAATTTATATATATAAAGATTTTTTTTGCATTTTTGTGTAATGTTGTATCAAAAACGTCTGGCAGTCTGATCAAATAATGCCAAACGCTGAATTCAGAATAGTATACTAGCATACTAGTTTTACTATCATATAAAGATATGTCAGAGATAGTAATAGTATGTAAGCATGCTTTTACAAAGTTCTGAATAACATGCAATCAATCATATGCTACTTTAACCATTTCTGCAGATATAGAGTGCAGCATGCAAATGTTCTGTATGCATGGGATAAACAGACGATTGTTCAAATATGCATTAAAACAACAGATTCTGTAACCCATAATCCAATGTGTTTGACCTTTAGTGTGATAAACAAGGCTATTTTTGTCTTATTTATTTACTATTACACTATCTATTAATATTTTTTATTATTTTTTATTTTTTATATTTTCAGTTTTCACTTTAATTTTAGTAATTTTATTGCTTGTGTCGTTTATTTCTAATTCTTTATTTTATTTAATTTTCATTTAATTTATTTTAATATTTATTTCAATTTTAGTTTTAGTCTTTGTAGTACTTTTAAGCACTAATATGTTGTTCAACTATTTCTTGTAATATTTAGATTTTATTACAGCTTTATTTAATTTACCAAAAACATTTTTTATTAGCTTTAGTTAATAATAACACACTGTACATTACAATGTACATTCTGTTCATTTTTCACCTGTTGCATGTTTATATAATTTGCCTAATTTAATAAAAAAAGTGCAGTAATCTCGGCTCACAATATTCTGAAGCCATATTCTGTGTTTAAGGCAATCAATTTTTGCATCTCAAAATAGGTCCGATTCAGCATCAATGACGATCAGTCGAGAAAACCAATGATGCTTCATGTCAGTGATATCAAACCTGAAGCAATGCATCTTGGGATGCCACAACTTCATTCTGTTCATCACACATGCTATCATATGATGTGCAATATAACGCATGAGCGGACAGGTGAGTTTTGCCGTTTTTTTGCAGTTAACCAAAAGTAATTGCAAAAAATACTTTTAGAAGTAGCAACGATTTCTTTTACAGTCTCTAGTGCTCATATGTGTGTTGTTGAGTGAGATCTGTGTGTGTGAGTGTTAATGAGCTCCCAGAGCTCGTCTGCTGGCACACGTCACGCCTCCAGGTGGATGAGGGACATACGGGACGCTTTCTCAAGGGCGTGTCAGTGTGTGTCATTTACAGTCAGATGAACAGGACGTTTACCTGGTTTGAAGTGCGGGAGTGAGTGAACACCTGGCCACGTCTCCTCCGACGGCGTCCCCAAAACCTGCACAGCAACACAGAGAGAAAACACTCAGTCCTTCACAGAGAAAACAGAAGAAGGGCAGCGCAAAGACAGTGTCTGATCGATCTCAGAGGAATACATCGCTCCGCTGGACACCAGCAGGCCACGACGCTTCATTCACATGGGTTTATTATGCACAAGAGCGTGTGTGTGTGTGTGTGTGTGTTTAGAGCAGCAGTGCTGGCTGACAGCAGGAGCTGTTTGAAGTCTGAAGCTTGTAAAGAGAAGGACTCGATTAAACACACTGTAATTACAGCCGTCAGATTCGATGAGCCAAACCGCTGAGACGAGCCAGAACCTCCTCAATGTGTGTGTGTGTGTACCTGGAATTCCCTATGTTATGAGGACCAAATGTCCCCACAAGAATAGTAATACCAGAAAATTTGGGAAGCCATGAGGAAACAAGCATAAAAATCATCCAGAATGAAGTTTCTTGAAAATTAAAAAATGCCTGTAGTTTTGTGTGAAGGGTAGGTTTAGGGTAATTAAAATAATATAGAAAATACAATCTGGACCGTAGAAAAACCATAAAACATGGAAAACATGGAAACCATGGAAAAGTGTGCGTGTGTGGGGGGGTGGGTGAGACTGAAGCACCACTCCTTTTAAAAAACAGATCCATCAGGTCCTGCAGTACTGGAGTAGTAATTAGGATGCAGCATTACTGCAGTTTTATATGGTGCTTTTCCACTGCGTGGTACGACTTGGCTTGGCTCGGCTCGGCTCAGTTTGCGTTTCCACTGCAGTTTAGTATCGCTTCAGAGTGGGCGGGATTATTCACATGTCATTATAGTTGCGCCGCCTCTACTGCCGCAACTCCTGAAAAACTTTTTCATTCCGCGTCACCCCATCAAGCTCTCGCTGGATCCACTCCTCGGCTATCAACGAGAGGAACATTTGTACTTCCTCAACAGACCACGAAACAACCATTTTTTGGTTGATAAAAAAGGTGCGCTCGTTCAAACAGTTGCATTTGATCCTTCGCTGGCTGTGCTGATTTAAATCTAGCGGGTCTGTTGTGTTTCTGTATCTTAAGTTCAGTGACGCAGATAGTGACGATTCTCTCCGGCCAATCAGTGATCAGCAGAGTTTACACATCACGTTTTGGTAATGGTACGGTTCGCTTGGAACCTCATCTGAGGTGGTACTAAAAAAAGTACTAGGTACCAGGTACTATACCCAGTGGAAAACCCCCCCAAAAGTGAACCGTACCGAATCGTACCGTGCCATACCATGCAGAGGAAAAGCGCCATAAGACTGTTGTCCCGCTTCTCTTGTATTCTTTGAGTGTTTGTCTGAGACTGACTTCTAGTAGAACAGGTGATAGACTGTGGAGACAGACTGATGAGACTGTCGCAGCGGGGAGAGGACGCTGATGCTTGCTGTTCGCCGCTTCTCTACCGCTTTCTCTGTCGCTTGGTCTGTCGCTCACTTTTTTAGGTTTTTGCTATTTTGTACAGACTGTTACTAAAATTAAAGGCTGTTGTCATCGTTGGTCATTCGCTGTTTGTCAGTGGGTGAATACTTGGATCTCTCTGTCGTTCAGTGCTGCTACTGCGAGGTATACTCTCTGGGCAGCCACTTAGCTGTTCCGGTGTGGTGACTCTTGTACCTCATTGCCATGTTACGGTCCATTTTTTCGCTGTGATTGACCGTTTTGACAGTCTCTGTTTGGCTAGCTCCAGCCGAACTCTTTCGGTGACCGGCATGAGGCTCAAGTATTCCATCCCGCAGCTGCTGAATCTCAACAACCACATCACTCCAACGTGTATTGCAGCCATTAAAGAACTTGGAATCCTGCGCCGACCGCGATACATCCACAGAAGTTCCTGTCGAAAGTTTGTTTACCATTAGCCTGGCCACTCTGCTTCGGCCATTCCATCTATCTGGATGTCTCACGTTTGCCATGTCATCAGAGCAATACTGCTCTCGGTGTTAGTAAGACGGGCATCACTGCGAGATTTCCACATGCTAAGCTGGACTGCATAGGAAACACTGTGAGATCTTTGTACACCAAGCAGGATAGAAAACGTAAAGTGGATTCCTATAACTATTTAACGCACAATCCCTTACAAATAAGTCATCCTTCATACAAGACCATATCATGGAAAAGGGTTTAGACTTTATGTGCATAACAGAAACATGGCATCAGCCAGAGGTCTACTCAGCATTAAATGAAGTCTGTCCCCCCAGCTACAGCTATCTGGAGAAAGCCCGCATTACTGGTCGTGGTGGCGGCCTAGCTGTAATATACTGACAGAAATTGCAGCTATGCCCCTCCCTTTGCCTACACTGTCCTAATCTGAATGTAATCTGCCCCCATTAGTAACCTCCTGGTGTATGATTTGGGTGTGTCTGACCATAAGGTCATTTCAGTGGAGTTGCTAATCCCTTTTTCCCACAATAAAGAACAGCGTCAAATATGCTTCAGGAATTTGAAAAAGATCAATTTGACTTTGACCTTAACTATAGATCTTCAGCATCTCTCCTCTGCTGATTTCTCTTCTGTCACTGAGTCGGCTGACTTCTACAATAGATCTCTAAGCAGTCTCCTAGATTTCCATGCCCCTGTCAGAACTAGAACTGTCACCTTCTTCCGTTCAGCCCCTTGGTTTAACTGTGAACTGCGGAAGATGAAGACAGCTGTACGTGTCCTTGAGCTGCGCCTAAAGGTCACAGGACTCACTGTTTACAGGCAGGCCTACAGAAAGCATCAGAAGGCCTATGCAAAGTTCTTTAGAGATGCAAGGTCACAGTTCTATTAACAATAGCCCTGGAAATTCCAAGCAATTTTTCTCTACAATAAATTACATCCTTAAAGCGCAAGCTCACTCTCACTTATAAGCTGCAGAGGAGAGATGCAACAACTTTATCACTTTTTTCAGGAAAAAAGTAGACACCATTCGCTCCTCTCAGTTCCTCTGTCCTGCCTGTCCTAACTGCCGATTCACAGCCTGGGACTCCCCTACCTCTCTGCTGTTTCTCTGACATCTCACAGCGAGAGGTTGAGGACATAATCAGAAAGATGAAACCGTCTACCTGCGCCCTGGACCCTGGACCCTTTTCCTACAGCCGTGGTGAAATCTAACCTTTGTGTCATAAGTCCCTTGATTACTAAGGTTATCAATCACTCACTCCAGGCTGGCCATGTTCCACCTACACTGAAAACTGCTGTCATCAGGCCACACCTCAAAAAACCTAGAAGTCCTTGCCAACTACAGGCCCATCTCTAACCTTCCATTCCTTTCTAAAGTGCTGGAAAAAGTAGTTGCTGCACAACTTCTGGTCCATTTAAAACTAAACAACCTGTTTGAGAAATTCCAGTCTGGTTTCCGCTCTAGCCACACCACGGAAACAGCTCTGGTCAGGGTCATAAATGTGTCCGTGCTGTCTGTGGTGTCCCTCAAGGCTCAGTGCTTGTCCCCATCCTGTTTATTCTCTATATGCTCCCCCTCGGTCATGTCATCAGCCAGCATGGAATATCATTCCATTGCTATGCTGATGACACTCAACTTTACCTTAGGACCAATTCATCCACTTCTGCTGCCCTGTCATCTTCCACCTTGACCATCTGTCTGGAGGAGATAAAGGCGTGGATGAGTCAAAACATCCAGCAGCTAAATAGCTCAAAGTCTGAAGCCATTTTAGTATAGGGTGACCATACGTGCCATTTTCCCAGGACGCGTCCTGGCCAGGATTTCTATATTGCCTAAAATATCTAGGTTTTGGCTTTGTTTGCGTGTGCAGACCGATCGGTGTATGACATCAAAATACCATACAGACGGTTCCTTATGCTTTCAAAATGCTCTCGAGGTATTTTGATGTCATACACCGATCGGTCTGCACACGCAAACAAAGCCAAAACCTAGATATTTTAGGCAATATAGAAATCCTGGCCAGGACGCGTCCTGGGAAAATGGCACGTACGGCCACCCTACTATATGAGCAACAGCACTATTGA